TACCTCTGGATAGAGTCAACTGCCATCTTTTTTTGTAAGCAGCTATAAGAGAGTGTTAACTGTTTGAACAGTTAGGTCCTACAAAATACTTATAATGTAAAAGGACTTCATAGAGTTCATTGATTTATGGTAAATTGAACTGCCCAAAGGCATACAACTCCTTGAACACAGGTAAACCCACAGATTCTTGACTCAGTACTTTTTCCTATCCCATATAAATAATTGTGCATATAGTATTTTGTGCCAGGTGCAATTCTAAGCACTTTACCTACATTAGGTCATCTTTCAATCCTAACATCAACCCCATGAGGTAGGTGCTTTTCTCCCAATTTTAGAAGTGAAGAAACGGAGACACAGAGTTTATGCAATCTGTCAGGACAACCCAGTTGGTATATGGTCCAGATTTGTGATATTGTCATGCAAGATCATGGTCTCTTTATCAAAGGTAGGAATTCTATCCATCTCTTGCATGGTACATTGCAAAGATGTCCCTATTTCTTCCATTTTCCTTTACTTATACCCTCTGCAATGAGACTTTACACATTCAAGTTGTGTAATACCTCTATCTCTTGATGAGAAGAGCTCATCAAGATGATAGAGGTATTATCATCTTGATAACTCATCTTGATGCATTCTTCTCATCAAGAGATAGAGGTATTACACAACTTGAAGAATGTAATCACTGTCACTAAATTGTACATGTAAAAAGTATTGAATTGGTATGTTTTTTGTGTATATTTCCAACAACAACAACAAAATTTAAAGAAAAAAGGTAGAAGAAAAGTCTATTTCCCAATTCCTTGAATTTGGGCCAGCCTTGAAATTCACATTGGCTAATGGGATAATGGGGTCCTGGTGTGGTGCTGTGGGTTAATGCGCCAGACTGCAAAGCCATTTAAACTGCAAAGTCGGTGGGTCAAGCTCACCAGCTGCTCCCTCGAAAGCCCTGTACAGGGTCGCTATGAGTCGGAACTGACTTGACGGCACTTAACAACAAACAACAATGGGATAATGGTAAAATTGATAGTGAACTGCTGTCAAGCTCAGAATTAAAGAGAAATTCATTGCATGCTTTCACTTTCTTGGAACCTTGCCACTGCCATGTAATTAGACCCAGGATAACTTGCTGAAGAATGAAAGAGCATGTGGAGAAGGCCCAGTTGTTCCAGTTGAAGGCATCCAAGAGCAGCCTCTCTTAGCCAGTCTTCATACATGTGAAATACTGCAGTCAGATCAGCTGAACTCAGTTCAGGGATAAGATAATTCTAAGACTTTTCATATATAATGGCCATTTGCTTCATACAATGGTTATAACGAAGGATAACATTATGATTGCTGTTGTTGTTAAATACCACAGCGCCACATCAGGACTCCAACGTTATGATTGTTGTTAAGTGCCATCGAGTCGATTTCAACCCATAGCGACCCTGTATAGGGTTTCCAAGGAGCAGCCGGTGAGCTTGAACCACCGACCTTGCAGTTCAAACACTTTGCAGTCTGGCGTATTAACCCACAGCGCCACACCAGGACTTTAGAGGAGATAAAATAAGGACAGGTAACATACTAGGCTGTGGAAACAGCATGGATGAAAAGAGCTGAAAAACTAGAGATTATGTTTTGAGAATGAGTAGTCCATTTTTACTGCAGGCCAAGGATGCTTTAGAAGCTAATGGGAAATAAACCTGTGGTAGTAGATTAGGTAAGGATTAGTAGCTTCTGCTCACTTCAGTAGATGTTGAGATGCCTTTAAATGTACAATATGATCATTTTCTCCTCACAGTGTCGTGAAGAAATACTATTATTTCCATTTATAGGAAACAAGCACAAGGTCAAATGCAGGCACTCTATCCCCAGAGTTGCCATATCCACTTTCTACAAAATCATGTTGAAGAGAATGGTTGTGAAGACATTCACAAGTCCAAAAAGGCAATAGTAAGAATCTGACCTGAGGTGATGTAGTTAAGTTCTGGGCTGCTAACCAAAAGGTCAGTGATTCAAACCCACCAGTTGCTCCACAGAACAAAATTGTGGCAGTCTATTTTTGTAAAGATTACAACCTTGGAAGCCTTGAGGGACAATTCTTTCCTTATCTACATGGTCATTGTAAGTCAGAATTGACCCAATGGCAATATATACGGAGTCCTGGCGTGGATCTGTAGGATAAGCACTGGACCACAAGGTCGGTTTGCAATGAAAGGTCAGCAGTTCAAACATACCAGCTGCTCCTCAGAAATCCTACACAGGGTCGCTATGAGTCAGAAATTACTCAACAGCACTTAACAGCAACAATATATATATATGTGTGTGTGTGTGTGTGTGTGTGTGTGTGTGTGTTGTGTGTCTAATTTTAATCCCATTTGTAAATAAAGAAATGAAATCTAAATGGGTTAGATGATTTAACTAGAGTTGAAGTTCACTAATGATGGAGTTAACAAAGGAAGGTCAAATGAGCTTTATCTTATATAGACTTCCTATCCATTGGTGGTTTTATTAAAATGCTGGCTACGAAGATAAAGATTTTCTTTCCCAGAACAGAAATGTTTGAGAACATTATTTCAAGACTTAGGGTCCTACTCAGAACAGAAGATCTAGTTTTGTTGCTAAATGGCACAGAAGAAAAAGCCTACATTGCAGACTGATATAAAATAGATGTGAATTCACATCTGAGCTCTGCCACACTTTTTTGTATCATTGGCAAGCTACTTTACCCATCTGAGTCATGATTTTCTCAGCTATAAAATTATAAAAAATAAAAGGTTACTTATAGGATTATTTTTAATAGCAATAAATATAATGCTAATTAATTAATGTTAAATTATTGAATAAATAATAATAATAAATTATATAATAATTGTAATAGATCACTTATAGGAATCCCGGTGTGGTACTTCAGGATAATGTACTGGACTGCAAGGTCAGTTTGAACTGCTAGGTCAGTGGTTCAAACCCACCAGCCACTCCTTGGAAACCCTGTACAGACAGAGTTACTATGGGTTGCAAATGACATGACGGCCCTTAACAACATAGGGTTATTATGAAAGTCAAGAAAGAGAATATATGTAAAAGTATCTACTCATATCTATTGAAGTATTTAAATAAATGTTAGTTTGCTTACTTCTTTCCAAAAACTTCCATGTCTAAGAATATATTTATTATTTTCCAATTATTATGTATGATAAACTTTATTGAATCTGAACTAGAAATGCATACATAATAATAGTGCCTTAGTAGTAAGATATAAAACTCATCAAATGATCTCTATTAAGTGGGTAATTAAAGACTTTTTCATGGAAGTCAGTTATTTGTGGGCATTGTATGAACCCACCCAAAATTTATGGATAAAATATTTTTTTATCCACATATTAAGTATGGTGCTGTAAGAGAAGCACTGGGCTGCTAACTGCAAAGTCAGTGGTCCAAACCCACCAGCTGCTCCTAGAAAACTGTTTACAGGGTTGCTATGAGTCAGAACCAACTCAAAGGCACTTAACCACAACAACAGCAACAACAACAAATATTCAGCAGATGCAGGAAAGCAGAAAACGATACTTGTTGACTCTCATGTGAACTCCCAGTATAGTCATCACCTCTGATTCAGTCATTTATTGTATAATAAATCTCAACTAAATGATAGCACACATTGAACAGATTTAAATTTATATGTGATTCCTTCCCAGGGCAAGAGGTGAAGCAATTTTTTGTAAGTAAGCAAGGCATCTAGAAAGATAGTTTTAATTTTGGCCCTTTCCAATGTTGACCCCTCTGTTCTTTCCTCAAATGCAATCTCTTCCTCCCCACCCCCTAAAAAACATACAGTCCAAAAAATGTGTAATTCATCTTTATAAAGTTATGAATGAATAACAACAACAATAAACATCAAACCCACAGAATTCCTTATAAATGAATGGTAAAACCTAATGACTCCAGTGGTATTTATTTGCACCACACTGGAAATAAGGTCACTGACTTTATTTCCAGTTGTGGTGTAAAGAAAGAAATGAGCTTCTAGTGGTGAATTTTAAGCATCTGAAAAGCAGTAGGAAAGAACATTTTTAGTCATGGGAGCCTTCATGGTGTTCCCCAAACCAAACTATTAGGCAACCATCAGCACTTAAAGTAGATGCCTCTGTAACTCTCTTCCTTAGTCCACTTGCCCAACAATGCTTATTTCATATAGCACTTAGCCATACAATGCTTAATGATAAGAATTAACAAGGACCTCATTCTAGTTACACCGCTGCCACCACCATCACCACCACCACCATGATACTTCCAAACCACTATGGAATTCTCCTGGAATTCTCCACCTATGTTCTTGGGAATTGTGAAGTCATGACTATTGCTAAAGTTGCCAGTGAAGGTAACGAGTTCATGCTTACGAAATACAACTGGGTGAAATGAAAACCTGCCTCCACTATTGCAAAGCCTTCCACTCAGAAAGGTTGTTGCCAAAAAACAAAGATTGAATTTGAACTCAGACCAAAGTACATTTTGATCTCAGAAAGGAATGCCTTGCATGCCTGAACAAGTCTCTGGAAAAAAGCTTCCCACTGGGATCTCTACCACAAAGTCTGAAAAGTTTTTAGCATAGAAGAGGGGATTCAACCATGGCTTAATTTTCAGCCAAGCAATAGACAGGTATATAGTGAGGACAATGATGCTCATAAGATAAGTACACCATAGACTAGTCAAACATTATCAAAAGGGCAGCCTTGGCTTAAGGACAAAATTTAGAAGGGTTGGTAAAGGAGCAGGAATGGAAACAAGAAACACAGAGCAAAAGTGAGCCAAGTGATGTTACTTTGAGGGGGCTGCAATCATTGAAATGAAATGAACTATGATTTGCAATATAGAACTAATGATCTGCCCTATAAACTGTCACTTAATTCACAATAAACAGTTTTAAAAGTAAATATATAAAAGAGAGGATTTCCACTGGTTATCCCAACTAGAGAAGTGAAATCAGGGGAAAACCACTGAGTATTCCTAGTGTCACTTACCTGAGATCCATATCTCCATCGACCCAGAAGGTGAAAATGTTAGAGGTGGTTCCCCCTGGGCAGCATCCCATGATGAGAACAGCTACAGCTTGGACTGGCTTCAGAGAGAAGCTGATGGCCAGGAGATAGGCTGTAAGAGGCATCAGCCCAAACTGGCACAGCAATCCCACAGCGATGCCCCAAGGTCTCCTGATGTGCAGACATAGCTTCCGGATATCCACGGAGCATCCCAAGGAGAACATGACCAAACCCACCATCACGGCTGACAACACTGTGAAAACAAGTTTCAGGTTCCCATATGCCTCCAGCCCCACTTGCAACTCCTCCTCTGTACTGTTGGCAGGGCAGGCTGTGCTGCTGGAACAATTTGCTCTCATCTCTTCATCTCCTTAAGGCAGCATCACAAATGAACATCTGCAACCGATGGCTGGGCTGGTCTATCCTGTAATAACGCAACAAAGTCACACATGGAGAATCATTCCAATAGCTATTGGCCGGTTGGGTGATTCACTCCTAATCTGATCAGTTTATTCACGAGTGGATAAATTTTACATTATGAAAATAATGATCACAGGTATGAAACATATAATAAGCCATGATAAGTAAGGTTTTCCACTTTTGTTCTTACTCACCACTGAGCAGTCAAGTAAAGTAAGACAAGCAAACTTGTGAAGTGGAGTGACTGGCCTGTGTCATCACCATCACATTTTGTTCCAGGAAAAGAGATTGGTTGCCAAGATATCATTTCTCTGAATTCAGTAGGGATTTCAAAGAGCCAGGATGCAATTCTCTGTAAAGAGAAAGGCTCACTCCGGAAAAAATAGAGATGACTAAACCAGAGCCACACCTCACATGATTAGCAAAACATTTCTGTTGCAAGTATTAAAACAAAAGTAAGCCAGTTAAGGAAATGCCAAGAAGGACTAGAGGAATTTCAAGAGAGCTTTGGAATTAGTCTCACGGTTTGCCTTCTATTTCTATTAGAATTTGTGTTGAAAGCCAATAACTAAACACCTGCAAGAACACTGTTGTATTAAATACACGATGTGTCTCATGAAACATGTAGAAACTCATTTCTGTATTCAAAATAATTCAGGGGAATTCTCACTTTCTTTTGGAGACTAGAATCTTCTTTGAGATGTCCCGCCCCTGGGAAGGGGTGCAGACTGGGAATCCTGCAAGGGAATGCAATCAGAGCTTAGTCTGGAGTCTGGAGACTGAGGTCAGCCTCTACCCACAATGCCCTAAGGGCCCTAATGAATTCTAACCAGGCACCTTTGATGAAACCAGACAAGGACAATGTGGTTCCATGAAACTAATCCTCCAAAAAAGCCAGTGCCACACCCTTTCCCACAGGGCTGGTGAAAAGACACACTTTATAAACACTTCTACCTGTCTTAAGGATACTGGATACTTATTGTTTATTTTTGATTAGCCAGTTATTTTTCCCTGACAAAAATGCTCTGGACATGTTTACTGTATAAAACTTCCATCTGAAAACAATCGTTGAATAAAATGAAAATTATTTGAAGAACAAATAAACTGCCATAAACAAACACGCCCTAAAGTCTGCTAAGGTACAGAATTTTGCTTAAAGTCATCAGAGGTCAACAAAAGGTCTGCTGCCACCAACTTGTATCTTACACCTGAGAACAGCACAGCATTTGCAACAAATTTGGCGGGGTCCAGCAGAGAATGGACCCTTAGTAATGGGTTCGGCTTCTGGAAAGCTAGGTGCTCCCAGTCTGTGTAAGATAGTGCTGTAGCAGAATGAAAGAAGGAGAGAAATAACATTTTCTGAGCACCTACTAGATGACAGGGCTATGGTAGGTACAGAATTTTATTTACTAATTTCGTAGAAGATATTAGATACTTTTCTGTCAAAAGGTCTAGTGAGAGTTGGCATAAGTTTTGTTATGTATATTTTAACCACAATAATAAAACTATTTAAAGTCTAGTAAACTACACTTTCTGTGTTCCAGGAAATCATTTAGAAGTCCCTTCAAATTATGGAAATTTAAATAAGCAACTCAACTCCTAACAAAAGACAATGGGATAGGAATTTTGTGATTTACTTGACACTCAGAGATGGCACTTAACAACAACAGTAACAGAGTTGGTAGTTAAGAGTTGTGGTGTGCCGCTGTAAGGTAAGCACTGGACTGCTTACCACAAGGTTGGCTGTTCAAACCCACCAGCCAATCCTTTCAGTTTGTTGCTGTGGTGGCTTGTGTGTTGCTGTGATGCTGGAAGCTATGCCACTGATATTTTAAATACCAGCAGGGTCACCAATGGTGGACATGTTTCAGATGAGCTTTCATACTAAGACAGACTAGGAAGAAGGAGAGGCAAACAATTTCCGACTGTTTAGCAACTGAAAACCTTATGACTAGCAGAGGAACATTGTCAGATACAGTGCTGGAAGTTGAAATTATGAACAGCAGTAGAATATTGTCATATATAGTGCTGGGAGATGAGCCCCCTCAGGTTGGAAGGCAGTCAAAATACAATTGGGGACGAGCTGACTTCTCAAAGTACGGTTGACCATGTGATGTGAATGGAGTAGTTTTGGGGACCTTCATTTGCTGATGGGATGCAATTCAAAATAAGAAGAAACACCTGCAACCATCCATTAATAATCAGAACATAGAATATATGAAGTATGAGAAGAAATGTTCTTTGATGATTACTAAGGGTGGGAGGGGGAGGGAGTGGAGTAATTCACTAGCGAGAAGGTAGACATATGTTAGCTTGGGTGACAGCAAAGGCAATATGCAACTGGAAGGAAGACTAATGAAATCAGAAGATGCTTAGACACCAATGGATGAAGGGATCACATGAACAACCCTAAGACTGCAAGAACTAGATGATGCCCAGATACCACTACTGATTGCTCTGAAAGGGATCACATTAGAAAGTTCTAGATAAAGTGGGAGAAAATGTGGAACAAAACTCAAAATCATAAAAAAGACCAGGCTAACTGGGAAAATAGAGACTCGTGGAACCCTGAGACTACAGCCCTTGCCCTCCCTTTTTGGATCAGGAATTTAACTCACCCCTATGGCTCAATTTTCAGCCAAGCAATAGAGCGGAATATGAAGAGGACAACAATACTAGTGAGGTACCCACAACATCTACTGATCAACCATTCAAGACCAGAAGTGCAGCATTTACCTAAGGACAAAATTCAGAAGGGTAGGGAAAGAAGGAGGAATGGAAACAAGAACCACAGCAAAGCAGTGGGATAAATGATGTTACATGGAGGGGATTGCAATCAAGATGAAACCAATTGTATGATTTGTTGAAGGTAAAGCTGAAGATCTGCTCTGTAAACCTTCGCTCAATCCACAATAAAAAGTTTTATAAGGAAAAAAAAAAATGGATAAAATAAAATAGTCAGCAGTTTGAACCCACTGCAGGAAAAGATAAGGGAGTCTGCTTCTGTGAAGAAATCTCTACAGCCTTGAAAAGCCCTATGTAGCAGTTCTACTCTATTCTACAAGACCCGCAAAAGTTGGAATCCATTCAACAGCATTGTAGAAGGGGACTCAATTTGCATAATGGCCTCTTGGAGCCTCCGAGGCAGAAAAGTATTGACATTTTTTTGGCCATTTTCCACTTGAAATTCAATGCTATCAGAATTCCTCAAATGGATCAGATGTTCCCATCTCTCACAGCAGGAAGAGATTTCAAGTTACAATGGTTGTTTAGTGACATCCAGGTGGTTTAGACTCATAGTGACCCTGTATAGGTTTCCAAGGAGCAACTTGTGGGTTTGAACCACCAACCTTATGGTTAGCAGTCCAGTGCTTATCATACAGTAGAACACCAGGACTCCAAGTTTTAATTAGTTACTATGAAAGAAAAAAGTATCTGATTGAGGACAAGTTCCTCTGGGGACAATAACCCTGCCACTGACATCACAAGATGCTAAAGAGTATAGCGACTGAGTGAGATGTGGATGTAACCTAAGGGAAGTAACCTTGAAAGTCTATATTTGCATGCTCCATGTTGAATGTAGTAATGTGAACCACAAGGGCATGGTGGCCACAGGTAGAGGCCCATTGAACTGTGGTTGTTAGGTGGCAAAGAATTCTTGCCAACTCATAGTGACCCTATGCTCAACAGGACAAAACACTGTCCAGTCCTGAGCTATCCTCACAATCATTGTTATGTTTGAGCCCATTGCTGCTGTCAATGTGCCAATTCATCTCATTGGGGGTCTTCCTCTTTTTGCCTAACCTTCACTTTACCAAGCTTAATATTCTTTTCCAGAGACCGGTTCCTCCTGATAATATGTCTGAAGTATGAGAGACAAAATCTAACCATGCTCACTTCTAAGGAGTATTCTGGCTGTATTTCTTCCAAGACAGATTTGTTCATTCTTCTGACAGCTCCTGGTACTTTAAATTTTCTTCACCCACACCATAATTCAAACGAATCAGTTCTTCTTTGGTCTTCCTTATTCACTGTTCAGCTTTCATGTGCATAAAAGGTGATTGAAAATATCATAGGTTGGGTCTGGTGCACCTTAGTCCACAGAGTGACATCTTTGCTTCTAAAAACTTCAAAGAGGTTTTTTTTTGCAATAGATTTGCCTAATGCAATACATCATATGATTTCTTGACTGCTACTTCCATGATTATTAATTGTGGATCCAAGAAAAATGAAGTCTTTGACAGCTTCAATCTTTTCTTCATTTATCATAATGTTGTTTATTAGTCCAGTTGTGAGGATTGTTGTTTTCTTGACATACTGAAGGCTGTATTTGTTGATCTTCATCAGCAAGTGCTCTTTGTTTTCAGCAAAGCAAATTTGTGTCATGTGCATATCACAGGTTGTTGGTGATTCTTCCTCCAATTGTGATGCAAAGTTCTTCTTCATATAGTCTGTCTTCTTGGATTGTTTTCTCAGCATACAGAGTGAATAAGTATGGTGAAAAGATAACAACACTGACACACACATTTCCTGATTTTAAACCAAGCTGTATCCCCTTGTACTATTTGAATGACTGCTTCTTCTTCTATGTACAGGTTCCAAATGAGCACAATTTAGTTTTCTGAAATTCCCATTCTTTGAAATGTTATCCACAGTTTGTTATGATGCACACAGTTGAATGCCTTGGCATAATCAACAAAGCACAAGTAAACATCTTTCTTGTGTTCTCTGTTTTCAGCCAAGATCCAGCTGACATCAGCCATGTTATCTTTCACTCCACATTCATTGGACTAGGTGTGCCCAATTTAATGGTATAATCAAAAGGCGCCAACAGGAGAAATAACACCTGAAACCAGGGCCTACCAGTGAATTGATCATGTTTTCAAATTTCTCTCCATTTAGGGTTAAGAAATAGACTCCTTTGGAATAAACACACTCCTGGGATTCTTGGTCAATTGTAAAAGGAATCTTGGATCCTTGTAAAAGGAATTTTGAAAACAGAATCCTAGATGAACTGTTCTTACTGACATGTAGGGATTTAAATTGCTAACTAGGAAAATAAAAAAGATGTGACCAAA